TCCCCCCCCTCCAAAGTTGCGTCCCCAACCCTGGATGGCCAGCCCTTGCAGTTCTTCCTGCACAAGCTAAGGGGGAGCTGGGGCATGGATTCCAGTCCCAAGGTTGGAGCTCTGTCTCTGATCTGGAAGCCTAATTATCCTATGGCTGCCCAGGCAATGCCTAAAGGCCATAGGGTCACTCCCTCTGCCACAAATAGTAGGGTTTCACCTTCAGCTGCTAGGGAAATGTCTGTATGAAGGGGGCAGGTTGACGAATATAGCAGCAGAGAAAGAAATAAAACTTGAGTGGCAGTTTATGGCTTTATTTTCCTTTGCATGTCCTTAAGAGAATGTTGGTTTGACTTAAAAATAAATCAATAAATTTCAAAAGAGTGGCCTTTACCCCCTTTTAGGTGATCAGAGAGCAACAGATCCATTCTCTGCAACTGTTCCCTGGATCCCCTATCTGTAGTAGTGTGACCTCCTCTGCAATTAGAAGTAATTCATGCCTCAATTAACTTCTTAACCTTGGAGTGATCATATAAAGTGTGCCTTGCATGCCTCTCAAAGCATAAATGCTGTGTTTGTTTGCATGTAGTCACCAATTCCCTTTTCTCTGATAGGACAAGAGGTACGCTTTGTTTACCTCAAAGTCAAAGCAGGTAAATGAATACCTGGTGAGTGAACCCGCTTATTTCAGGAAGCAGTGAAAACAAGCTTAAAGTAATAATTGAGGAAGTATATTGCGGTCTTTTAACATATGTCATGTTTGTTACATGCCTGGTAAAATGAGCTGGAAGCCAGTGCTGTAGAGTTGGTAGATCTTCAACACCATTTGCTTCCAGCTCGTTTTCCCTTGTCTTATGCTTGCTGCTTGTTTGTTCACCAAGCCCCATTGTTGTTTTCTGCCTGCTTTTGCTCTTGGCATGTTACTGTATCAAATACAGTTGAGGAATAGATCAGTTCCTTGCTCTGCACAGTGCTGAAAAAGCATTGCATGGTAACTATTACTCATGTTTTTAGGGCTGTGAGTTCTATTTTGATCTCCAGAGAAGGCTTGTGTCTGTGACGGCAATTGTTCATGAATTGATTCCCCAAATCGCTTCCAGGCTAATAAACTGCTAACTCGACCCTCCATGAAAAGCTTGTGGACGTTCATGCCAAGATCTCAAGCTTTACTTTAAAATGAAAAGGAGGAGGGATACCTTCCCCTCTGCATCACTGGACTCACATCAGTGACACTTTCCAATAGGTGTCCATGCCGCATGTGCAGTTACTTCCTAGGTACCACCCCAAATTAGGGAAGAGAGAAAAGGATGCTGTCCTTCCAGCAATATCATGGATGCTGCAGTCTGAATGCCAAGCCAGCTGTATATGCCTGAAAGGAAAGCCTGCAGATCCTTGAGGCCCATTTCTTGCATCATAAACAGATAATCTGAAAATGCTTTTCTTTTCTCTCTCAATGGCCTGTGTTATCCATGACCAGCACAGTAAGATGGAGGAATTGAATAACTGAAAGTTTAGAATACGTGTTGCCCAATGTTTGGATCTTTTTCCCATCACTTTTTCAAAGAATAATGGCACTGTTTGGTGGTGGATTTGGTGGTGGGCAGGAAGACAACGCTCTGCTGGTGTTGGCCCCAGCGACTGGCAATGGGAGAGACTGTCTTTAAACCAGTTTGGTTTAGTTGTTATGGTTTATTTCTGTTAGAAAGCTGGCCTCCCTCTTCCAGGAGCATGCCTGATCCCTTTTAAAGCCATCTAAGGTAGCAGACAACATGGTATCTTGTGGCAGTGAATTCCATGAATTCATCATGGCTGTGTGAAGTACTTTGTTTGGCCTGCCCTAGATATTCATTTAGTTCATCTCCATTTCATTTCATTTATTTCTATACCACCCAATAGTTGAATCTCTGCAGGTGATTTACAACAATAGCTTGCCAACCAATTTCATCAATTGGCCCTGAGCGCCAGTATTATGAGATATGTGGGGGGGGGGGGGGACAATTCCACTGGATTCATGGCATGCATATTCTCTTAAATCCACTGCCACTGCCTTCTCCAACCTGGTGGCCTCTAGATTTTTGCACTGGAATTCCCAGAATTTCTGACCATTGGCCATGCTGGCTGGAGCTAATCTGAGCTGAGGTCTAAAACATCTGGAGGACACCAGGTTGCGGAAGGCTGTGGTCTTGTGTTTAACAAAATATGTAATGCCATGAATAAAATGGAAAGATTTTTCCTCCCTCTCTCGCAACTAAACTAAATGCCCTCTCAGCAAAGCGGTTCCTCACACAGAATATGCACCAAGCCCTTTGTCATCTGGGTTGTCCTTTTCTGAACCTTTCTCTGCCATGGTAACAGTCTTCATATAATGCCTACTACTGCACTCCTTTTCATGTCTGTAATATTTTTTTTTCCTCTTTATTTTCCTGACTAAAAAGAATTTGGGATTACTGAACAGGATGAGAACAGATTTAATCTTTTCTTTTCTTCCACAAGCCTTGGCATTCCCACAGGAAATAAACAACAGTCTTCTCAAAACAAGCCTTTTTTCCCTCCTTCTACCCCTCCCCCTTTCCCTGGTCTCCTAATTAACTAATTGGTAATCTAAGGATCATCACTGATACTATAGTGACCCTGTGGTCTGTGAAGTGCCCACCCTTCCTCACACCCCTCTTCTCCTCTGCTGTGGAGCTATTCTAGCTCTGGGCCATTTACATCCCTCCTAAAAGCAAGAGGCTCGCTGGTTCCCACAGAGCTGTTCAAAGGATGACTCATATTTCTTATGCTAATTGTTCGGTTCTCAAAATATAGCACTTACAGGGTGCGGTTCCATGAGGAAAATCTACTGTACTTACAGGGCATGTTGAGAAGTGTTTCTCATATACATCATTTTCTCCTTTTCTAATTTTCCAGGCCTTTAACCCTTTTCTGTCACTTCTTTGCAGGGCAGCTAGCTTAAAGTGGAACACTTTTAGATGCGGCAATTAAGGCAAAGCAGGTGAAATTCTATTATACCTGATCTAGTACAGCCTTTCACAGGCTGCTGCCCTTCCTGGTGTGTTTGGCTGCAAAGCCCTTTATTTCCTGCCTCCATTCCCATTCGTCATGCTGGTTGGGGGGATGATAGAAGTTATGGTCCCTGAACAAAAGGGAGAGAAGCTTCTCAGGTACTTGGAGAAAAAAAATAAGTTTTTTTCCTTTCCTCAGGGTCCTCTTATCTTTTTTCACATATACTGAGAAGATATACCACCAACAATTCTTCTAATGTTTGTTTTAGGTTGAAATGCCTTTCAGTATAAAATAAACGTGGGAAGGGCTGTTTTTGTTTCGTTCTGATGGATTTGTTTGTTTGTTTTTTGTTTTGATCAGTATATCTGAATTAAAATCAGAGGTCCCTGAGGAAGAAAAAAAGATTTGTTTCCCAAAATGCATTGGACAGAATAAACATGTTTCCTTCAGGCACTTGAGAATTGTTCTCTCTTTGGTTGGATGACATATTAAGACCTTTCCCTCTGCCTGCCTGCCTGCCTGCCTGTCTTTTCTAGAAGTTGAAGTCCAACATAGCTGAAAGGTACCAAGCTGGGAAAGGTATTCATCTAGCTCTCTACTACCTCATGTCGCAAAGAGACAAAAAGATAAGACATGGAAGATATGGAAAGGCTTTCCAGAGTTTGTCTGTCCTTTTACTTTAGTGCAGCTGTGAGAGGAGCCACCAAATTTTGATCAGAGGAGAGGAAATATTTAAACCCTTTCCCGCAGGCTGTTTTTTCCTCTGCAAAACCACTTTTCTCTGTGAATTGCTGTCACCCCCTTTCACTCCTTTGGTAGAAAAACAGATGGGGTGGGGTAAGGGAGCAATTTTGTTCAGAAAAATGAACTGTGGGAAAGAGCTAAGCATCTCCCACACACTTTTAGAAGGCATCCTTGATACAAAATCTTCGGTCTCTCTAGATCAGGGGTCCTCAAATGTTTTCACCAGGGAGCCAGTTGAAAGGTGCCAGAAAGGTGGTGCTGGCGGTGCGCATGGGCCGGCGAGGGGGCGGGGGCGACGCATGCGTGTGTGCTGAGGTGGGGGCGGCGTGTGCGGTGAGGGGAAGGGAGGCAAGGGCACACGCGGCGAGGAGAGGAGGCGGGGGCGGGCACGTGCCGCGAGGCGGGCGCAGGAGGCAGCACCTTTCTTGCTTGGAGATTTTTCCAAGTAAGCAAACGGCTGCCTCCCCGGGCGTGGGGCAAAGTGGGTGGCGGCGGGCGCGCACGTGGGTGCGGTGGGTCCAAATGGGCATGGCGGGCTGGATAAATGGGCATGGTGGGCCAGATCCGGCCCCCGGGCCGTAGTATGAGGACCCATGCTCTAGATTCATCATAGTGTTACCACTGGAGTTTTGGTTTTGTTTTGTTTTTTTTCACTTTTGTTTTGTGAGATCCAAAAGTGAACTGCAGTTCTGTCATCTTGGGGCATGTCCAACAATAGCAGCGTCAGTGAGAAAATAGACCACGCTTCACATTGCTTCTTAAGACAGTAACGATGCCCTCCTCTTCTTGCTAAGAGAGAAGAAAAGGTCCTATCATCCCTCAGTCCTAATGGCTGACTGGGGCATGCTGGGAGTTGTAGGCCTTTTTCTATGTTTAAACTTGCATGAGATTGTGCCTTTAGTCTCCTTAATAATAGCTGACGAAGCTTGCTGCTACACAGACTTCTGGCATTTGTCACAGTTTGAGCCACAGAGACATTAAATATTTGCCAGCAATTTCTTCATATGGCTTGGAATCCAGTTTATTGGCCTTGTTTGTTTGTGGTTTGGTTTAATGGCTGAAAAAAAAACCTACAGCAGAAGCTTATTGCATGGAAAGCAGCTCTGGTGTTTTACAGGGTTATCCACAATTCTTTTCTGATTGGTTTCTCTTCACTGGGAGAGGTAGAAGAAGTAATCAAGAACACTTGTGTGTTATAGTATTTGGATAATTGTTGTGTCAGTGAATTATGCATTTGTAATCTTTCTTATCCTACGGGTTAGAAAGAGAATCGAACTGCTGGAGCATCTGAATATTTTGGAGAATCGGTTGAAGATGGAAAGTACATGCCTTCTCTAACCCAGCAGAAAAAGCGAGGCATCCTGAAAGAGATGTAAGCTATCCATACACAACCCTTCCCAATATACACTCGCCCTTCCAATATTTTGAACAGCCCTCCCAACCTGCTGCCTTCCAAATGTTCAACTCCCTTTGGCACCTGTCAGCTTGGCCACTGACCAGAAATTCTGGGACATGTGGTTCTGAAACCTCTTGAGGGCACCAGGTTGGGGAAAGCTGCTAGATGCTAGAGCCAGCTTGAGGACTAGTATAGTGGAACGGTGGGATTAGAACAAAACAAAACACCTGAAATAATAGAAACTGAAGCAACGGCAGGTGGAAGGTTCTGCTAAGAGCTGATAGTCACACGACGCTAGCAAGATCCCGCAAAGTAGCTCACTGCAGCCCACTTTTGACACATGAAATAAATAAATCTCTGTTCAATGGCTGGATTTAGGATCACGTGACATGCAAATCCGCTGTAGTTTGGCATCTGCTGTGCTCATGAATGTGGGATACAGTCTATGTGGGCCAGGTGTCCTTGGGTGCCACCGAGTTGACAAAACTGCCCATTGCACAGAGCTGCAAATGACCTTCTGCTCCACGTGAAAGTGTCCATATATTTGCACATATCTTGCTCGATCTGACACCATCCTCTCTTTTGAATAGAAGCATTTTGAGACAGCATGCATTGTCGTATGTAACACCTGGATAAAATCTGACTCTTTGTATAGATGTGAATTCCTGCAGCTCATTCCACAGATGTTTTGGGTGACCCTTCCCAGTATCTTGGACCATTAGCCAGCTTGGCTCAGGCTAATGGGAGCTGAGGTCCAAAAGCCATCTTGGGGACACCAGGTTGGAGAATGCAGCTCTGTTAGATCACAGTTTACTCGACACAGTTAACAGTTTACCCTACTCATAACGTGGGATTGTTTGCCAAGACGCTAAACAGGCTTATCATTCTTCAAAAGAGGAGACCTCGGGGGCCTCCTAGAATTTGCAGAATGGGTGAACTGAAGCAGTCACAAGGTTTGCATTATTAAAGTGAAATATATAATTCTCTGTTGCTAGAGTGAAGAGGACAAAAACGGTGAAAACGAAGGAGAGCCAACCTCAGCCCAGCAAGGACACCATGAAAGTATATCTTGGCTCCCTCGCCTCAGACAGGGAGTAGGAAGAATGCATGTCAAGCTCCTTCCGATGCTCAGAAGCGAACCGTAGGCGTAGGGCACAACCAAAGGACTGCATAAATACAGCTGAGAGCAACTTGGGGCTTCCTGTTTCAGAGTGGGACAGTGATGTGAACTGGAGACAGCCGAGCAGCACTAGCAGCCAGCAAAAACTTCATTTGTGGCGTGGTTAGACATGACTTCCAGCAGGAGCCCTCGGTGGTGCTGTGAGTCAGCACTGCTCGATCCAAACCAAAGTCAAAGGGTGACCGAAATATCATAAGTGCTGTTCTGCGTACACAGGAGCAGAAGGCACAAGGGTGTCTCCAAGCAGAATCGCTCAGTTCCCAGAAACGCAGCCATGCGGGTTGTTCGGAGGCATCTTCTGGAGAAGTCCCACCAAATCCCACATTGTTTTCTAATTGAGGCTTGGCAGGATCCATGTCTGATGAAGAGTTGCTTACTTGAAGAAAAACCTTCCCCAGGGACTTGTTTTGATGAGAAATACTACAGCCGTCGTGCAGACAAACCCAAACCAACCACAGTCACCAAAGAATAACCCTGACTGCTCCTCTCCCGCTGTACACCAAGCCGGCTGAGAGAGAGCGAGAGAGAGTCATCCAAAACTGGGGAGGGGGTGGGTGTGTTAGGGGAAAAGTCAATCCCAAAAGCAAACCACAGAGAACCGATTCAAACTTTTAAGCAATGAAAAGAAACTTGTGCCCTGTTATGCTGCATGTGCTTTTGGTATCCTACCAGTTGAACACATGAAAGGAACATTGAAGCATTTTTGGAAAAAGTCTCATCCAGTGGCTTTGTGAAAGCAGAAAAAAAGTTCCTTTTTGGGCAGCTTGTGACCCTTCAAATGTTTTGGCCTCAGCTCCCCTGATCCTTTACCATTGCTAGGCTGATGGGAGTTGTAGGCCAAACCAACTAGAGGGCTAGATGTCGCTCACTCCCACCTTAGAGATTCCATAGCATGAGATTGTACCATTTGCATGGCTCCAGAGGCATCCCAACAATTCCTGATGGTTTCCAGAGCCTAGAGCTTGGAGAGTTGCCGATTAAAACACATTTCTTCATCATGTTGTCGTAAATCTGCTATAGGGCCTTTATCTGCCTGCTTGTTTACAGCCCAGTTTTCATTGTATATTATAATAGGGAAGGAAGAGGGGGATTTATGAGTTCTTGCACATTCGCCCCCCCAGGTCTTATTCCTGTTTTATTGTATAATTTTTCATGTGCAGACTCCATTTAGAAGAAATAGAGCCTGCTCAATAGAATACATCTCCACAGCTAGCAGGTTGGTAAGGAAAAGAGCAAGATTGAGAGGATGCGACCAGCCCCTATTTGTGCCTCAAATCCAGTTAAATTGGCTTTAAGCTAAATATCCATTATTGGATTATTATGAGCTTTGTCATTCACTTGACTCATTTAGCTCCCTTATTCTGCTGCAATGAATGTTTATGAGGAAACAAAACTGCATCAGAATTGCTTTAGAGAAACTTAGAGCCTAAGTGGTCACAAAACTAGCCATGGCAATTTATCATGGAAATGATATACCTGTTTTTCTTTGTTCCTCGTGCACATTTAACTCCCACCCTTCCAGGAGGGAGTTCAAGATGAGGTACAAAGAGTTTGCCCCCATTGTATCCTCTCAAGTGTTCTGTGGAAGGCACTGAAAGAGTGCGATTAGTCCAAGGTTTCAGTCCAATGAGTTTCATAGCAAGTAGAAATTTGTTCCCAAATCTGCACTGTCAAAGTCCCTGGCTTATCCAAAGTTTCTGCTGTCATTTTTGTGACTACTAATATTAACAAATTGAATTTTGTATTTTGACATCACCTTGGATGTGTTCTCTAGGTTGCTTTGGAAGATTTTTTGCAAAAAAAGTAACACACTTGTCAATAAAAAGTAGCTGTTTTTATTCATGGTTCATGCTCCTTGAAGGCAATGAATGTCTGGGGTGAGATGGTGGTCCATTTGTGGATCTCGTGTCACCTAAAGTTCTCAGTTCTCCTGGCAAAGTGGAGCATGTCTGGAGTGCCTGATCGTTGGATGCTTTGTCCAAAGTTGGGAATGTGCCTGCACAACCGTCGTACTTCAGGCACATAGTGAGAAGGCAAGAGTTGCTGGAGAAGACAAGCACGCGAAGGAACGTTGAAGGAAGAAAACCTCCTATGGGATGGATGTGTCCCTAAAGGAAGACACAACCTGGGGTCCATGAAAGCTGAGCAGGGTGGTCTAGGAGAGGATACGTTGGGGGCCGTTTATTCACAGGGTTGCCATAAGTCGGAGAGGACTTGACAACGGCAGGTAGCCACAATCACTGCAAATTCCACAGCAGGAGGAAGTCCGGTCAGTTGATCCTATGCATCGTTACTCGGAATTAAGCCTTCTGTGCTGGGTGGGGCGGACTCTCATGGAGGTGTGCACAGGATTGTGGTCTGGGTTGACGTGGATTTTGTCTGTCTGCCTAAGGTATGTACACCCTGCTGTTCAGTTGGAAAGGCTCCCCAAGGGCCTGATGGATTCATACGTGCAAGATGGCCCAGCCTACTATAAACGTATAGTATAAAAATGCATGCCAAAGAAGGGGATGGGAAGGAAAGGGAGGAGAGGAGAGGAGCACTTGGGCATCGCTCTTCACATTGTGCAGTTCTTCCCACGACCAGCTGCTGCCGCTGCTGCAGGCAGCATCACACACTTACCTTGGACCCTCCAGTGTCATGGGATGAGAACTCCTGCCATCCCTGCTCACTGATCGTGGAGGCCAGGGATGATGGGAGGGTCATTCAGGGTCGGAAACATCACTGTACCGGACGTGCTTGCTTTGCCAGTTCCCATGCTCCTGTACGTGGACCTGCTGGTCGCTACTTCCAAATCACAACCCTAGAAATCTATATATTTCAGACAGCAAGGATTATGATTCCTAATATTCTGTGTCTATGTTGTTTAGATGCCACTTTATTTAAGCTTCAAACTGCAGCTACAGAAAAATACGCCAATGGTTACTTCCTTCTTTAATTCACTTTAAATCCACAGTGCTTTCCACTTTGCCCCATGGGGCAACTGGTTGCTTGGAAAGTGATTTCCACCATGCGTGGGCGCGTATGCATGTTCCCCAGAGCACAGTCCTGATCAAAATCTCAGTGAGGACAGGGGCGAGGGGTGGGGTCAGTCCATGACTGTATCCTCCATGACCAAAACCCGGCAAAATACCCAGCTGCGGATCATACAACATCTTGCCTTCACATTGCAACAAATAAATTCCTTTATTAACCAGTGAAATAGGCATGCAATGACTTGACGATGGAAAATCACCTGAATTCCCCCCTCCTTTGAAAAAACAAAAAAGAAAAAAGTCTTTGTCCATCAAGAGATCTTTTTCCCAGTTTGTCAAGACTCATTGACTAGATGTATTTTATGAGCCGTGGCATGCTTGAGCAAGCAGGGCTCGAACACCCCAGCATTAGTTGCTTAAATTCTTTTCTTGCAAAGGAGGAGAAAGCACAGCACTCAGTTTAAACCATTGCAGAAGGAAAATAACTGACCACAAATATTGTGTATCATTTGTATTAGTCTCGGTCGATGGCTCAAGGGTAAATTGAATTATTTACTGGGGGTGGGGGATATTTTCATTTTGTTTCACCTTCACTAAGCAGGTCTGTTGAACCAAAAATGTTTAACCATACAGTTTAAGAAATGCAGGTATCAGTAAATTAGCAGTAGCTTTGATCACTCTCATGGTATTACACCACACAAATTTTTCTGTGCCATATTATCAAGTTAGGCTAAAACAGTGCCGTCCTACACATGCCTGCTCAAAAGTCCAGTTACTAAAATTCTGGACTTTTAAGTCTGGTTCTTAGAATTCAGCTGAAATAACTCTTTTTCCAGGCTTCTAAAAAGTTTCAGATGGACTTAATGGAATGGGACACAATATCAATAGTATATCTTTGGACCTGGCATATAAACAGAATAACCGAGCAGGAGCTGTGCCAAATCCAAAAGTGGGCAGCCATGGGAAAGTAAGCAGTATTTAATGTACACTGCCTAATGAGTACTTCCCATCTCTAGTGCCAGTCCAGAATCGGTTTCAGATTCTGAAGCCTGGCCTTCTCATTTATCTTGATATGGTGAGTTCCAAGAATTTCCAGTACTGCCAACATCAATTTTATTTGAGATTTTAAAAAACAACTTTAATGATATGCAAACAGCTGTTGAACAACAATAATATAAGCTGGATGATGTCAAGATGGTGGTGGCGGCATTTATGTGGATCATTATCCTAACCTCCCATTGAACGCTTCTTCCCAACTAACCCAAATGTGGCTAAAGAAAAGCAAACATGGACATAGTACATAGTCCAATTCCTATTAAAGAAGCATTACAGTAATTGCCATCTATTACATGTAAAATAAGGGCACAAATGTAAAAAAAAAATCAAATGTCCAAACAAATAGAAATGTATAAAAAATTCAGTTTGGGGAGGACAGACTTCCCCTCTGTCCTTGCCAAAGTAATGCAGAAATGGACTCCAGATCTCAAAACATACTTCTAATTTACAGCTTTATGCCTTTTTTCACAAATTTTCTCCCATGACCACAAATGCGTGTTGCATAGGCAACGTCTGGACCAAGCCGTGGGGGTGGGGGGGTTGATCTTTCCCCACGGCTCAAGCTATCCAGGCCCTGGAATTCTGGAGGCTTCTGTGATGCACAGCCTGAGCACACCTGTGCAGAGGCCGGTGGCCCCAACGTGGAGCGGTACCACCCTCATTCCAGTCAGTGCAGGAGCCTGTCCTTGGCAAGGCCTCAAAGCCTCTGGAAATGAGCAACCCTGTGCTGAATTCTGGGTAGATTCCTGGTAGCGTCTCATGTGGTGCATTGCTCTGCACTCAGGTTTATGGGGCTTAGCAAGAACACTCAAACAGAAAAGCCCTGAAATTCTTCTCTGGCTCAGATTAAAAGCAAGATTGGGAAAGAGTTACCTGCTTCTCCTAACCAGCCACCTTGGACACGCTTTTCCACCTTCCCCTTTATTTCTTGGCAGATAGATAGGCTATAGTAGCGAGAAGCAGTACCAGATGTAGAAAGAGGGTGATTTGCAGGGTATAAGCCCAGAGGACCATGGGAGATGTAGTTCTCTTGACTGTTGTTTGCAAGGTAAACTTTAAACATTCCTGAACTAATGTGAGAAGAGCTTTGGAGAGATGGACAGATCTGGCTTAATTCTACCATGGCAGATCCACAGGTCACCTACTGATTTCAGCACTAGCTAAGACCAACACCTTGAATTACATCAGAATTCCCAATATCGGACAGGTTTCCTAGGCCTTTGAAGTGGCACCACTGTCAAGAGATGGCCTGTGCCATCTAAAGCAACGTTCTCTGACCTAGTGCCCCAGCCAGCATGTCCACTGATCAGGAATCCTGGCAGTTGTGACCCTAAACATTTGGAAGGTGAAGGCTGGGCTAAAGCTTCTAAAGAACCTTTAATGGCAGCCTTGCCGTTGCCATGGCCTTGGTGGTATAAGTCATAAACAACTATGCCTTGTCTGGTGAACGAGAAGGTTATGGAACTCTCCACAGGTGGAAAGCTAGACCCCATATGGAGATTTCCCATTGTAAATAAGAACAATGTTAGTTGATGCTTTGTAGCAATGCAGCGATATTTCTATTCCCCAAGGTATGGACTTCCACAATTACTACTACTATTATTGCATTGCATTTACCTTCTGTCTTGTTTCCTCTTGTGAGGAATCCAAGTTGGTTTACATAGCTCCATGGTATGCTGAACAACAACCCTGTGAGGCAGGTTGAGCTGAGAGTGCGTAGCTGGCCCAAAGTCACCTAGGGAACCCAGATCTTCCAGTCCCCAGTCTAGTGCTCTCACCACCACACCACACCACACCACACCACATCACACCAGTTCTCCATTAAAGGTGTGTTTGATTGTTAACTGTGAACAGAGTCCCTTCTGGTGCTGGGCCTCTGAGCCACCGCTCCACCTCTGCTTACCTCCCACACCTTGGCATGTTCTTGCATTCTAGCAGGCAATTGCAGTTGGAGGATCCCTATGCATCTCCCCTTTCCCTAATAACAAAATGGAAGCTGCTGAGGCAAAATCAGGACCCACCTGACTGCCTACCTCGCTTCTTCCCAGTCCTGTTGGGTCAAGCAGTGCCTCCTGGCTCCTCTGGCTGCCATTTCTGCAGTGATGGCCCTAGAAAGGACCTTCCTCCTTCTCAGCACCACAAAAGAGAAGGATGCCAAGACTCGGAAGTCTAGAAGAGTGTGGCTTGACAGCTTCTCCTAGGAAAAGGGCTAAAGATTTATTTGGGTGAGGTCATGTAAAATTAGGTGGTAGTAATGCAGGTGTGTTTGCATAGCTAAGTGTGCTGAAAGGAGAGGCAAGCTGAGTGGATGAGTTTAGTCTTGGGGTGGGAAGCAAAGGCTGTGGAGGCCCAGAAAGAAATTGCAAAAATAGTCTAGAAACCTCATGGGAGATGAGTGGGGCTCTAACATGAACCAGCAGGGAGTTATTTCATTCTGGTTGGTCAAGTTATTTCCAAAGTACAAGGAGAGAAAAGTAAAGGATTATTCTGCTTTTGGTCAATGTTGTGCAACCTTTAACTCAGTGCTACGGAACTGTAGCCTTCCTACGCAAACATAAATTTAGGAAATCGGTGGTGGATGATGGCCATCCACAGTGCACAGTGAAGCAGCAAGATGCATGAAGAAAACCGTTCTGAAGAAAAATGTTTTCTGCAGGTGCTAGTCACTACTTTTTAAAGCACAATACCCAAATGTAAACAATGGATTAAAAGTATAAGAGATGCAACTATTGGGGCAGATTTGTCCTAAAGGGACTGAGGCTTCTTCCTCTAAGAGGCTGCTGGTGCAGGGAGAGGTTCTGTATTTT